GGGCAGGGAGAAGGGCAGGTCCTGCAAGTCTCATTTTGATACCTAGAAAGATATTAGAACAATTTAGATGGTGCATTTATAGGCACCTGAAGGCTAATATGGTACCAAGAAATAGCCGGAATGACATGTCATGACAAGTCCTGTTGATCCAGTCTAATTTCTTCCTTTGCAGTAGAGCTGGTCTTGTGCCAAGGAGAAAGCAGTGGGTGTGATCTGCCTTGCCTTTTGTAAGGTTTCTGATGCCCTTCCACCCAAGTCTCATAAGCATATTCAGAAAATGTGGTAAAAAAAAATACCATAAAGTGTGTGCAGCTGGTTGAACAACTGCACTAAAAATACACTTGTTTGCTTCCAGACTGAGTGCATCCCCCAGAGTCTGTCCCAGACCTTGTACTGGTCAGTATTTGGGATGACCTAGTTGGGACTGGTCCTGCTTTGAGGAGGGGGTTGGACTAGAGGCAACCTCCTGAGGTCCCTTCAACCCTCACTTTCTATGAATCAATTTTCATTAATGATTGGGTGCTGGGATAAAGAGTCCACTTGCAAAATTTGGCATCAGCCTGGGAGGGCTAGTAGGCACTTCAGAGGGTGGGTCAGAGTTCAGAATGATCTTCAAATTGGAGAGAGGGTCTGAGATGAACAGGAGAAGGATCAGTGAGGACAAGTGTAAATTGCATTTAGGAGGAAGAAGTCAAATGTACAAATACAAAACACGGAACAATTGGCTGAGCAACAGGACTGCAAAAACCGACCAGGAGGCTGCAGGGGTTTCCAAACCAAGCAGAAGCCAACAGCATGGTGCTATGTCCTTCTAAGGCCTCCACGCTTAAAGGTGTAGATGATGAGCACAGGCAGGAGCAACAAGAGCAAGGTTTGGAAAATATAACCTTTGTAGAAAGGAATTGGAATTGGGCTTGCATTGTCTGCAAATGAGAAGACAGGGCAGGGGAATGTAAGTCTCTATAGTTATAATAGGAGGTTGTAATAAAAAGTTGGTGACTAGCTGTTCTCCTTGGTCATGGAGGGTAGAAGAACAAGAAATCGCCTTTAGCCTGCATCAAAGACGGGTCAGGTTGGATATTACGGCTGACTTTCTCATTGCTCGGGTGGTGAGTTTCCATGGCTGGCTGCGTAGGGATGTTTCAGCACATCCTTTTTTTGAAGGTGTGCAAGAACGGGTTAGTCTGTCCAGGTGATGTAGGTGTGGCTGATACTTGAGATGATACAACAGACTTCCCTTGAGGTCCCAGCCCTCTGCTCCTATGCTTCTATATGGATGGAGAAGAAATCTGTGTCTTCTAGCCCAGAGCTTCCCAACCACTGGGCCGTGAAGGGTTGGCTGCCGGGTTGTGGCGGGAGCTTTAACTGCTGTTAGCAACAGGTCTATGCCTGGGCCGGGCTTACGCCATACTGATTTGCTGTGCAAGAATGTCCTCGCTTGGCCAATGACTGTGACTTCTTAGCTTTTGAAATTGGACCGCAGTAACTGTGGCAAGTCGCCTCCGTATCAGCGAGACTGCCATAGCTGCTAACATCTGGCTTGTATACTCAGCAGCTAGCTAGCTAACCTTAGCCAGCTAGTGATTTGTGTATGCATGATTTTTAGCTATTGTCTCCTCCTTTATTGATGATGTTCCTCACAACCCGCTCCCCCTCCCCACGTAAAAATTAAATTTAAGTATGTAAATTAGATTGTTTCTATACCCGGTCCGCCAAAATTCTTTGAGCGAGTTTGCCGGTCCGCAGTATAAAAAAGGTTGGGAACCACTGTTCTAGCCGTCAACCAGAGCCACCAAAGAAGGAGAAGGAGACAACCACCACGCCCTCCACTCAGTCAAAGAGAGCAGATGAATGGAAGGATCCCTGGCGCCGATCCAAGTCCCCCAAGAAGAAACTTGGCATGTCCGTCTCTCCCAGCCGCGCGCGCCGACGCCGGAAAACCTCTGCGTCGTCTGCCTCTGGTTCTGGTTCCTCAAGGTAAGATGTGGGCCAGGGAAGAGCAAGAGGGGCAGCTAACACATGAGACTCTCCTGCACTGTGCCTCTGGCATATGGCTGCCAGACTTTGACAACGGCCTGCTGAAATGGCCCTTGTACATCTTGCTGATCTGTACTTGTGCTCCCATAAACAGTCCATATAACCAGCAGAAGGGGGGGGGCTTGTGGAGCCTTAGCAACTGTAAGCCCAGGAGTGGGCGAGTGACTTAAATTTAGCATTTTGTGACCTAACTAGGGCCTGGGGACACATGGGTCCTTAGAGGACCATTCCAAAAAGTTGAAGCCAAGGTGTGGTCCACCTAATTAATAGCTAATCTTAGCAGAAGCTGCTCTGAGTGGGAAAGTTGTGGAGCCTACATTAAGCAGACCTAGCTCCCTGCAGAGGTAGCAGGGGAGATTCTGCTCCAGGGAGACTTAGGTTGAAGGTGAGCCTAGAGATGTGGAGAGCTATTGAAGCCCTGGGGAACAAGGTAGACTGTCACATGGCAACATTTTGAATCATCCACCACAGGCTGCCTCCCTTTAAAGATGTGAACTTTGGGTTCCCAAAAGGAGGGAAGGAGTGGGGAGGGGAGGAAAGAGGTCTTAATTTGTGCATGAGAAACACGGAGCATGCAGCTGAACAAGAACAAAGCAGATACAAACCCTGCTAAAACAAATAGAAATAGCTTTTATCCATCCTTCCTCAATCCTAAATGTCTGCTGGTTGGGATCATCCTAGTCCACCCAGAGGAACCTGGGGACAAGGTAGAAGATGATTATCTGGTATAAGTGGGCTTTAAAGGACTGTTATGGAAAGGGAAGGGAGAGCTGCTGTCTGCAGGGCCTTGTTCCAGGTGACTGGAGTGCTGGCAAATAGAGATTGATTGCTAAACCACAGAAGTGGCTGGCCTGGGGAGGGGATGAATAAGGTTTTGGGAGAAATGTGTTGTGTATGGTAACGTAGCTCAGGAAGGGTCCTAAAGCAGAGATGGGGGAACATGAGTGGCATTCATGAGATCTGCTGAACAGGAGACCTCCGCACTCAGTTAACTCCACCAAATGAGAATCCTTTTTATTTTTTTTATTTTTTTCCAGGTCGTCTTCTCGCTCTTCGTCCTATTCTGGTTCAGGTTCCTCGCGCTCCCGTTCCAGATCTTCTTCCTACAGCTCCTATTCTAGTCGCTCTTCAAGACACAGTTCTTTCTCAGGCAGCAGATCCAGGTACCGTTCCTCTGGCTTCTGACCCAACAGCTCTATCTTTCTCCTCTTCCCAAAAGGCACAGAATAGATGGCAATACAGAATTATCAGGCTACTGATGAGCTTGCACAGTACAATCACTGAGAGATATTGCAGACCCTGGGCACACTTTCTTTCAAAATACAATTTTAGAAATCTCTAGACATATCTCCATTCGGTGAGCAGATCCAGCTCTCTGGGAAGTGTCACGTTATTAATGTCATCTTCCCTTCTGACACTGATTTCAGCAGATAAATCAGAGATATATGTAGTGTGTTCTACTGTTTTAATGACAGTCCATATAATTTACCATTTTGTCAACTTCTGAAAGCAGAAAATGACTGTGGCAGGGCACTAGGTGTGCTGCCACTCTAAGGCCCTGGAGCTGGCAGCCTCCAGGTGCCTGATGAGAGAGCAGCCATTTTAGGCTCAGGGGTCGCTATATAAACAAGGCAGTTTGGCTGCTGGAGGAGAGGCAACAACATCGCCTGGCCTGAGGGCTGCCAAGTTTCATCCGGAGGTAAGGGAGGAGCTGTAGGAGATGGTAGGAGGCTCCTGGTCCTGGGTACGACCGGAAACTACACCCTGCCAGGAGTGGGTGGCCTGGTGGGACTCCCAGTGGTGCGGGAATCCCCAGGAAATGCCAGGCCAGTGATCACCCCAGTGAAAAACGGGTTGGGGCGCCTTAACCCCTAGCCCTCACCTTAAGGTGGGTCGTGGTACACCAGAGGTAGTTGTGGGGGTTTGAGACCCCGAGGAGAAGAGTTGGGGCCAGGCATGGCTACAGCCACCTGAGCCCATCTGTGGTGGGAAGCCCCGAGACCCCGAGTCAAGGGGGCATTACAAGCGCTGTGGAGCACCCAGTGTGAGGGGGCAGTGATCAGAAGCCCCAGAAAGGGCAATGTGGAGCCCTGTGAAGGGAGAGGGGGCTCAGCCAGAGAGAGCGAGAGCTGAGCCCTGACCCTAATAAGTCCTCCACCGTTGGGAGGCAGGATGGGTCAAAGATAACACTGGTCGTAGCACCACGACCTGCTGCCCAGGGGGGAGTGAGAGTGCCCTGCAACACCCTGAGGCACCAGTCATGGTGTGAGGTACCCCAGCTCCCCGCGTCTGTAAAGGAGGACCCAGAGAGGGGGACCCTGGGATAAGAGTATGAGTCATACATCAGGGCCTGCCTGAGCTTCCCCTGACTGTCCCAGGTGGGGGCCAGGACCAGGAGGGTCAGAAAGGCAAGGAGGCCCACCGAGAAGGATGCCCAAGACCCAGGGGTCTGGGGTCCCGACTGGCCTGGAGGTGGGCCGGGGCTAGTGTGAGCCGAAGGTCCCAGTGAGGGGACCACACCCAAAGGGGAACCGATGGCAGGGTGATATATGGCCTGGTATGACAGCAGCAGAATCTGTCTGAAGGGAGGAACCCAGGTGGGGTCTTACAGCAGGATTCTGGGCCCCATCGTGGGGGACTGGCGCGTATGAGAACATCATGATATCATCAGCAAGGCTTGGGCTGCGGTGTAGGGGAGGAATGGAGCTGCAGATAGCGCCCCCTAGCAGCAGGGCAGAAAATAGGTAGCCTCCTGCCTAATTACATCTATTAATTAATCAATAAAGACCAAGGCATGGTGGGCAGGAAGATGGGCAGTTAGCTCAAGAACAGGTGGGCGGGCCTCGCAGAGATCGGCCCCAGTAGCCCCCCTGTTACAATGACCATAGCCCAGTTCTGAAAATCAGGACTTACCCCAACCCAGCTTTCAAAGAGTGGGGTTAACCCTGTTGGACATCATATACAAATTTTCATTTTTTTTTTTTTTTACATTAGAAGTGTAAGGATCTTGCATGTGTCACTGGGTTTGCAGTTGTAAAAAAAAAACCCAGTCTTGGGCACGGACAGGCACGCAGGCACGCACGCAGGCAGACACTCTGCGAATACATCTTTACATGCAGAGATCTGGTTTCATCTCCTGTTGTGCTAACTGTGCGGTTGCGTGGGCCTGGTTTAAAACTAGACACATACATAGCATGGCACTTGAACCAGCT